GTTGATTATTATTTTGTTGCGTTTTAATTAATTAATTTTTATTTAATCTGTCTTTTAATCTTAATCTCTAAGTTTGTTTCTCAAGTAATTTTTAATTTATTTTAGTATTATATATAAATATACAATTTATTTTATTACTGTTTTTAAACTGTTGATTATTCTTTAAATTTTCTTACATGATGTCTATCAAAACTTTTGAGTCGTTCTATAAAGGGAGCATCGTTAGACATTTACATGTCTTTTAAAATTGGACTTATGCCCATAACAATGGGGCGTTTGTGTGATTTGTGCTGATTTAAATCTTTTTCACCTTATAAAATTTCTTACTTTCGGGTATAACCGACTGTGTAATACTTTATTACTATACATTTCAATAAAACTCCTCAGTCGTAAGTTGGCTGAATTTCAATTCTTCGCCAATCCATAAAGAACTTCACAATTAGCTCACCTCTCAAAATTTTACCGCTCTACCAATTCAACTTGACAATAGACTCCAGCAACCCAGTATACTCTTATTCCATAACGCGCACGAGTAGAAAAACAAAGCAAAGGCAAATCCCACATTGTGTTTTATTTCGTCTGCCCAAAATAAGGCCAGAGTAGACTCTTTGCCATTTTTGGGGTCACGCATAGAAAACTATGGAAAGCGGCAACACGGGCTGCTCCGATCGTGAAAATAGTCTAAAGGCTGCCATGTTATGGCCATGTTGGGCGCATAAGTTGAGCAACTGCCACGGCCGCCAGGCCATGAATTGACAATCCAATGCGGCACGAGTCGGAAGTTGGTAACAACGATAACGAGACACTTTTTTKTACATACTAACTGTAACAGTTACAGTTACAGTTGCAGTTCAATTTACATGGCCATCAATCATCGTCAAAGCCGCTCGAGCTCAACATGCCAAAAAAAAAACAAGTAAGAAAGCTCCAGTCGAGACAGCTCGACTAGGAGATACCCTGAACCCTCCAAGCTGATATTCTAATCATTCTGCACTTCTTTTATGCACACATACATACACATGCATCCACACGCACGCATAAGCCTGCGCTCTGCTAACTGCGCAGTAAGCAGCGACTGCGCTTGGGCTGCGCTGCAGTGTGGGCAATATTATGAGAATTTATTTGTTAAATAATTTCTTTTGTAGACATACGATCTTAATGAAACTTTTAGAGCGTAATCATATGGTGAATATGTGTGTATATTCCAAAGCCCAAGTCTCTAGTATTTGAAATACGCTTTTTACAAAAGTGAGGGTGAGGGGGTGAATTTAAGGGTGGGGGGTAAATTTTAACAAAAACCGAAATTGTATAAATTGCATATAAGCATACATTAAAAATTTGGAGACTCTAGCAATAAGGGTGTAGAAGATATAATTTTATAACTGGTTTTCGATAAGGTTTTTTATCGATAAAAAAAGATCGGGATGAGTTATCGATTTTTAATGATAAACTTGATATGCGCGCTGTAATTACGGACATTTTAAAAAAAATTTNTTATATCTTCTGAAATCGACGCGTTCATACATACGGCGGACGGACGGACGGACGGACGGACGGACAGACAGACGGACAGGGCCAAATCGACTCAGCTCGTCGCCCTGATCAAGAATATATATACTTTGTGGGGTCTGCCACGCCTCCTTCTGCCTGTTACATACTTTTAACAAAACCATTATACCCTGATTTCCCATTTTCAATGGGTTCAGGGTATAAAAAAAGAAATAAAAATAATACCAAATTGATTACACTGTGTGTTTTGTGTAGTCCGAAAACTAATCCGTTAAGACTGAAGACTTAAGCTGGCGGTTGCCAAAGCGCTCTTTGCCATGTGAAATTCGCACATGAATAGCAATAACAACAGCAACAACAACAACAACAATTTTAACAACCCCAGACGCCAATGGCATTGTTTATCAAACATTTCAGAAATGATATAGCCAAGTGATTTTAATTATTATTCTTTGCTGCTCTGCTGCCGCCGCTCGCCACTCGCCGCTCGATGGATGATCTCATTTTTCAATTGAAAACTTTGGGCAGCTCATGTGAAAAGTTTTTGTTTATCGCATGCGTAATAAATACATATGCATATGTGTTTTATAATCTAGTCGAAACGGCTGAAGGGGTCCGTCTGTTTCTAGCCAGGGCTCCCACAGACTCCCCAGACTGCTGCTGCCGCTTAGCTCAGCGCGTCCCTCCCCCGCCACATGCCAGCCACGCACTGCATGTCCATTTAGCATAACTTCTAATTAAAAACAAAAAAACATTTGCAGCACGCATGTTACGAAATTAGGAGGCACTGTCCGCCCCTCCAGCTCGCAGCAACCACAAAATGTTGCATGCAAATGAAGAGAACACAGACACCACTTAAGCAAGAGATCTAGATATGGCGCACTCATAATACACTTTTATTGCATTCTAAATAGCCAAAAGGTTTCAAATGATAATTAAAGTAAATGACAGTGCTGAATAAGACATTTTACTTCCCGAATAACTGATGAAAATTATTATTAAAAGTTGCTTAATTAATAGGAAATATTAAAATATTCTTAAACAATAAAACTTGGCCATGCCACGCGGGGCTTATTTAATTCTGATTACATATTGAAACCCATTTTATATTAACAGCAATCGTATRTATGTATGCGAAAGCATTCAGTTACGTAAATATATCGTCATTGGCGTACGGTAAGAATATAAATGAAGGTGCTTCTAGATAAGTACTATAAGTACACTATAAATGAATACCTTTTAAACTTTACAGACATACGTAGAACAGTCTGATTTTATATATATTTTTATATATATACATATTCGTGCTCAATTTGAAGTTGATTTCCCCCATTTATGGACGCTCTTTGTATTTGCAGTGCAAAATTCTGATATACATATTTATTGTATTTAACAGCTCATTTTTTCCCGTTATTTGACACAGTTGTTTAACCTTAAGCTAAGCTTTGAGCTTTGCCTACTTAGCAGCCATTAAATAGTCAAAAAGCCCGCTATTTATCCCTTTATTCTGCGAACTATCGCTCATTCTCAATCTCTCCCACTATTCCTCCCCTCTGTCTGTCTGTCTGTCTGTCCCTCTGGCCAGTTGAAAAGGGGCGTATGAAATTAATAGACTCTCCAACTCGCTTAATTATCGCACTCAGCAGACATTTTAAAATGGGCAAATGTGTTTTTTCTTTCTTTTTCTGTTGCTGTCTCCTATTGCTTGTTGCTGTTGCTGTTGTTGTTGTTGTTGTTTCTGCTTTATGCAGCCATTTCCCTAGCAGACATAGCTCGAGTTGTCGTTGTAATTGTAATAGTGTGCGWGTGCCTCTGCTGCTGTTGTTGTTGTTATTGTTGCTGTTTGCTTTATTAGATGATGATAACTTGGCTAATGAGTTGTTGGACTGACAGCGGGACTGAGCGAAAAGCCAACGACATTGTGTTTTGAGTTGGCTGACCAAAAAGACCAACAGACAACAAGCAAACAGCAACAACAACAACTACTACAACAACAACGAGTTCATTTGAGCTGCCCGCGCATTTTCAACGTTTTCATCTTGAGAATTTATTATTTTTTGTTTTGCTTAACGCTTTTGTGAAGGTGAACAACGCAAAAATTTCAACAAGCGCCAAAAAAGAACCTTTTGTGAAGATCGACTCAAGCTTAAGGTTAAGCGGGTAGCTAGAAAAACAACAGTTAGAGAGCAGCGATAAGTGAACTGCGCTGAACCACTGAACCGCGCAGCAGCTGAAACACTTGCGCTTATTTGAATAGCCATAAACGGGCTCACAGCGGACCATTAACCTGAGCTATGGTAGTTAGTGGCTATAAATATATAATATATCTGTAAATGTATCTGCATCTGTAAATGTATCTATATCTGTATCTGTTTCTGTGTCTCTATCTCAATGACAATATGTGTCGTTTTATCGCTCGCGCACTTTGCGTGTTTGCATTAAGTGCGGGCAGTTTGTGATTTCATTTTGTTGCCTTCGTCACATACTGATGGGCGTGTACATTTAACTGTAAAATGTTAGGCCTATATTTAAATATTAATAGGAACTCCATTATTATCGTCTGATGGCTCAAGACCTCACCGGGAAAATGTATTTGTTTACCTTTGTTTAATTTTAAGAATTGTAACTTAAAGTAGCAGAACAATTGTTTAATATCAAATAACAAATAACATTTTATGAACATTTTATTTAAATGAAAACTAGTTAAAAGAAAACTAAAGCAACAATATTTTTTTTTTTTAATTTTAATCGAATCAATTTTGTGCCGTTATGAAACAGTAGATAAGAATATACTCAATTTATATTTATATATATTATTACATCATGCTAGTTATGCCCCCTGGCAACCTGTTATTTGGAAAATGACTTTTCTTAAGACATTAATCCCAAGTTTATGCATGACTTTTACTGTTCTGCAAATAATATTTATAGCTCATACCAATTTATGATCTTTTCGTAATTCGTAATTATTAGGTCAAGGCAATGTTAAGGCCTTATTGGCTTGGCCTCTCCTCAATTCTCAGCAATGGCTGTTACCCCAAACTTGATATTGAATTTCCGCTGTTGAATTCCAAGTTAGAAATTAAGTTATACATTTTGGACTACTTATCTATCGCCTATCGTTAGTTGTTGATACGCTTATCAGCAAGGCGAGTTCGAGAGATAAGGTGGGAATTACGCACAGACAGACACACACACACACACACATACACGGAGCAATACAAACAAATGGTGTAGCGAGTCCGATAAGCCTAAAAGGTAAGCTGAAAACATAACGAATCGACAAAAACAAAAATTCAACTGCGGTTGCGGTTGAGTCAGAGTTTCTTAGAGTTGCAAAAAGTTGAATAAGTGTGATCGCTGGTTCGATTGGTGCAATATTTTGGCCAGGACTGTGAGCGCACACAGGTAGCGAAGGTAGGAAGAAGTACTGAGAATTGCACATGAAATGGGGTTGCAAAAACCAGACAGAAGCAGAGCATTTTAAGCCCTGCAGCCTATTTGTGCAGCTGGGCAGGAGGACATGACACAGCGACGCTGACTCAGAGTCCCCTGCTCCTGCCGCTGCCCCCATCCGAGAGTCTTGAAGGAAACAAGTTAAGTTGCTCGTGGCACTACTCACCCTTCGTCCAGTTCGAGTGGCAAGCGCTTCAGCTCAGCCATATCCAGCTCGAGGCGCAGATTGGCCACCAGGCAGAGCAGGCGATCGCGCTCGATGCTCAGCTCCTTCACCTTCGATTGTAGCACTTTGTTCTCATGCAGCAAGTCCTCGACATTGAATTTGATTTGTGTGGGTGGGTTCACAGGACCGGAACAGAGCATGGAGCTGGCCATTAGCAGCGACTGCGTTGTCTGGTGCAGCAGCAGTTGCTGATTGCTCAGTTGCTGATCCTCCAGAGCGTCAGGCTCACTGCGCTTTGGGGACAAGGTTTTGTGCTCGGCCTCCGACATTGTTTTAGTTGTGTGGATGAAAACAAACGCGACTGCACTTCATGGACTCGAACAGAACATCGCGCCACGCAAACGCACTCGCGGCCAAGAGAGAAAGAGAGAATACGATCGGAACACAGTAAAAAAAAAAAAAAAACGAAAAACAAAAACGACTTTGAATATTAAAAGGCGAGCGAAGGAATAACACGACGCAAAGCGACGCCGCCGCAGTGTGCTTCGATTTGAATTTCACTTAGTTTGCACTCGCGCTCTCCTCTTGGCGCACACTCACAGAACTAATGCTTTTCAATTTAGATTTAAATTATGTATTGTTGCACTTGTGGTGTCGTGTGCTGTTAAGACAACTCTTTAAATTTTTGATTTTCATAACATGCGCGAGCGACGTGCTACTTGTTCTTCGGACATCAAAACGAATACACGAATACGGCAGGCAGCATGACCAAAACACACTTTTAAAAAAATACAGATTCTTATACGAAATATACCAATTATAATACTGAATCTTCCCATTTAATCCACCAACTATGTTAGGTCTATCGTCAAACTGCCATCTCTAATTCTTGAAATTGGCGGTAAAGTTTGTCATTCAAATAATAAATGATTTTATTTTAGAAAAGAGGAGTATGTTCAAATAATTCACAATATGAGGATTGTTGTGAAGCTTTATTTCATTTTTATTTAATGTAATATTTTATATTGGGTTTTATAAGAATAAAGAATGTGTTAACCAAAAATATTTTGTACTCAAAATGGTAATGTTACATATTTACTATAAACTAGTTCCAACTAAGACCGCAAACTAAGCGTCTCAAAGGAACTAGTTTTGAAGGTGGATAAGTTCATTTAGACATTTTCTATAAATAACAACTATTTTCCTTTTTTAAAATTTTATTTTGAGCTGACGCTACGCTTCTGTAGAAAGGTGAGCTGCAGGAGGCGGCATCGTCATAGTGGTTTGCTGTTGGGATTCGCTTTTTCGCGTGGAGCGCTTGCGCACGCGCTTCGTCTCCTTAGCCCAATCCATTTCATTGTACGACTGCTCCGTGGCGCGCCAATGCAGCTCCTGTCGTTGAACTAGTTCTACATGCTTTTTCTCAAACTCCTTGTCCGGCGGGAGGAGAAGTTCCCAGCGCTTTGTGGAATTAACGCGTGCCACAGTGCTCAACACATCCAAGGTCTCAGCGGGGGGCAACTGGGTAGCGGTCATCACTTGATTACGATACAGGAACGGAGTACGCGAGAATCTGTAGAGCTAACCAGAGAAAAATATAAATATTCTGCAAAAAGTTTATACATTTATATTCCGTTGTGTAACCTACTATGTAATCCCGGGCACGTATCATTTGCTCTGCAGAGACTCCATTGGCATGTGATAGCATCTTTTCGGGATAGACCACCTCGGACTTGGGTACCCAGTTGCCGTGCAGCAGGATTCCCACTTGAGGTAACAGCGCCAGCACCTTGTCCGCGCTGACATGCGGATCGACGTACTCCGTGAGGATGTTCAGCACGTCAGAGAACGAGAGTATTTTGGCATCCTTAAGCAGCACGCGCAGCTGATCTAGCAGAGGTAAAGTCTTCAACATTGCCTTGTTGTAGACGGGCACCACATTGGCCGTGTCCACCTGTTGGACGTGCTCGTCGTGTGGCAGCAGTTTGCACAGATACTCGCTGGGCGGCAATGATAGCGACTGATTGGACTGATGGTTAGTGCTGTAGAGCTTCTGCCGTTCTAGCTCCGCTGTGGGAGTGTCCCGCGCATGCCAATAGCTTTCGCACCACGGCTCGTCCACGATTCGCTGAACGAATTTGTCGTAGCTGCCGCGCTGCTCCTTGGACTTTTTTGCGGCGGCGCCAGCGCCAGTGCCGCGTGCAAACTTGACCGTCACTTGCTGCGCCACCTCCTCATCATCCAGATCCTCCGACTGGGCCTTTTGCTCCGCCTTGCGACGCTTGTCCTCCTTATCGAAGTAGTTGAGCGAGGGCCGCAATTGCACAATACTAGCCAGTGGTGACAAGTGCATTTCCTTGTCTGTGTAAATGCCCACTACGTACTTTGAGATGTCTGTCAGGGATCGCGTGCTGGTAAACGCCTGCTTATCCATGATGCCACGCTTGAACGTGGGCCTCTCAGAGCCTTTATGTGTGGCATTGGCGAGGTTGCTCTTGCCATCGGCGGCTACTGCAAATTGTTCACCTTTGAAGCGATCAAAGTGCTTAGACTCAATGTTTAGACCGAAATCTACTTTGACTTCCTGTGTAAACGGCTTCACACAACAGTTGACGACGACGGCATTATCGTTATTTAGTAGCTCGGTTTTTGTGGGGTATTGAAATAGGTATAGGTTGTCCTGCAAATTCTTTGACAGAAATACTGGGATCTCCTCCACAATGGGATCATCCTCAACGTCCATTCCACTCAGGATTTAATACTTTCAATTGTTTTACTTTGTCTGCAGGGCACGAATCATGCGGCGTGGTTGGCAGAATGACCAAGTATTGATATCACGTAAATACTAGTCGCCATTAAAAATAAGCTCTCAATATACTAGTAAAATACTGCACCGTGCTTGCGATAGTCTTATCGATAGCTCTGTCTATAATACACATTCGATTGATTGATTACACAGCATTTGTATATTGCCCGCGCAATTGCAACACTTTAAGCATGTCCAATCAAGGTGTTCATCTACTTGCCTCTTTTAGGCATTAAAACCCAGACAATGTTACACTTCACATTTAATTGAATTAAATTGAAGCTGATTCAAATTTACAGTGCATATGTGACCTTTCTACTCTGACTAGTTGCTCCCATACGGCAGTCGGGTTTTTAACATGCTTAGCCCGTCAGCTAGCGAACATCATATCAATCCCACAATTCATTCAAAGATATAAATACATATATGTATGTATGTACGACAGCTGATGTGCAAATATTTTCCATTTCAATGAGTCGTACGTTGACGGTGGCGACGACGCTCTTATCAATTCAATTGAAATAATATTAACAATAGCTGGCTTTATAATCAACTCGGTTGCATCAACAGGGACTTGCGACTCGGACTGGAAGCACGCCCCTCGATGAGTAATCGCAGCTCAAATTTCCAGCTGCTATCTGCTTGGAAACAGCTTTATGGTTTTATATGCTCCATACATATAGCAGAGTACAGTAACCGCATTTTGTATGATCATAAAAACATAAAAAATAATTTATTTGCTTATTAATTTGTTTAATAAATATACAATATATAAAATTTCTGGTTAGTTTGCAAGGCATTTGCAAGGCCACTCAAAGTGTTTTCATGACAAAAAATAAAAAACACCCAAAAACTAGTACAAAACTCCGATTAGCTGGTCGACAAACGAATTATCTTTCCACACATTTTTTAACTACGCTGAAAAATACATACACTGATAACGAGGTACATTAACACACTTTTTGTTTAGTAGACACACCGAATACGCGGACTTGACTTGGACATGTCGGTAGAAAATTAAAATTGATTCCTATTTCAAGGCACAACAGGCACTCTGTTAAATAGATATTACATATTAGTCTAGGGGCATTAACGTTGGACAATAGCGCCCAATAGAAAGGCCAATCTATTGGGCAAATAACAGTTACACATACATATACGTACACACACATGTTAATTAATTAATTCAAATCGAATTCTTTTAAGCATGCAAAATTTGTGCTTGGCACTTGTAGGACGAGGATCATTCCGATCCATCTTATGACCAGCCGCCTGTCAGCTTGTGGAACATCTCCTCGTTAAGTGTCTGGTTACTTTCTTTGGAACGCATCGACATGAAGATGTAGCCGCCAATGAACTCGTGCACCACCTTGCAGTCGGCGGACAGGCAAGAGAAGACAACGTTCTCGTCGTGGAACTGAATCATCATGCACTTGATACCCCAGTTTACGTTCCAGGCTTTCATTGTGTTGTAGCGCCAGGTCATCAGATGATCGCCCGTATTCAAGTCCATGCGCATGATGCGGTTGTGCGCCACGCCCAGAAGCTCCTCCTTTTTGTGGCCATCGAATTTGATGACAAAGAGCGTGACGCCGAAATCGGGCAGCGATTGCCACGCCTGAATGTACTTCAGCTTAGCCTCCATCAGCTGCAGCTGGCGCACATTGGCGTGTGCTTCCAGAATTCGCTGCACGGCCTTGCCGGACAGCTTGCGCAGCATTTTGGGCGACAGATAATCATTGGCGTCCACTGCGCGCGGATTGATATTCAAAGGCGCCGCCTGTGCCTGCGGCTTCTGCATTTGGAGCAGCGAGCGTATGCTGTTTACCTCGCTCTCGTAGCTGCTGTCGGCCAGCGAACGTCCCTTGGCGGCCAGGCGACAGGCGGCCATCCATTTGGCATATTGCTCTTCGTTCTCACAGCGCACCCAGTATTCGGTGTTGGGGCTTTTAGGTCCCGCTGGGACCTCCAGCCGTATGCCAAACTTGCCCTGGGCTAAATGCACATCGGGCGTCACCTCGCAGCCACGCAGATTGATTGTGATGCTGGGGGCACCGCGACGCGTGTCCTCTTGTGACTTGTAGAGGTGCAGCTGCAGGTCGCGGTACGTGAAGAAGTAGCGCTTGTAGCCCCTCAGCGTGAACACCTGTGGCTTCAGGAAGCGCAAGTAGTCGGATAGTTCGGGGATTCGTGTTATGTTGCCAGCATCGCTGCCCGAGCTGGGGCCCTCCAGGGTGATTTGCAGCTCGTTCAGAGCCGAATCAATGTCGTCGTCGGCGTCGTTCTCTTGGCTGGACGACTCAATGCCGGAATCAGTGCCGTGCGGATGCAGATCTGTTTGATGATTGATCTGAAATTGCAGCGCGGCAAACATCAGTGTCTCCTCCTCGGTGCAGTCCAGCTCCTCGTTGAGTATCGACCATTTGGCCTGCTCGTACAGCTGGTTGATGCGCACCTGATCGTACTTTGGATTTAGATCAAAGAACGTATAGTACTTGAATCGCAGACAGAGCGTATCGAATTCGCGCACACCTTGCTCCATGATCGACAGCGAGGAGTCCAGCCAGCCGACATTCATGCGGGCCTTCTGCACCAACGACTTGGGCCGCACAAGGCGAGCGCGCACATCGGGACTGGGAGAGCGTGGGGAGACGGACAAATTCTCCTGCAATTCACCAAAGATGGAGCCCGAGTCATAGGCGACGTAGCCATTGTGGCTGTTGTTGTGCCACAAGGTGCCAGTGGGCGAGCTGATAGGTGTGCCTGGTGCAGTGGTCGCTCGCCGGGGCGTCGTTGCATACGGCGATGCTGGAGCGCACAAAAGATTTCCGTTTCCATGTGACCTGTCCAAGCTACCATTGCTTCCATTATAGGCATTTGTGATGGGCACAAATGAGTTGGTGTCTGGCGCAGGCTGCAGATAGGCGGTGCCATTGGCTTCCGCAACGGGTATCATCTTTTGCGGTAGCTTGGAGAAGTTCTTCTTTAAATGCTCTGGCTCAAGAGGCTTGCAAAATGAAAGCTCTTCCGGATAACGTATGTCCAGCTCCTTGCAGAGATTTACCACGGCGCCAAATGTTTTGATTGAGAAATTGACACGGCAATCCAGATAGCGAAGGTCAGGCATCTGGACACGCAGAGTCTTGTGCATGGGCGTGAAGTGTAGAAATGAATCGGATTGAACGCCAGCCTGGTCGAGGGTAGAGCGCGTGCGCGTTAGCCAGATGTTTTTGGCTGGCCACCAGAGCGCATGATCGGACCAATCCTTGGGCATTTCCGGATCGACCAGCTGCAGCATGACGCCGCCAATATGCTGGTCACCGCGTACACGCAACGTTTTCTCCACCTGCAGATCTGTGATGAATATCCGCAGGTTCCAGGTGTTCTCGCCCACATGAATCATCGTGCCACTGTTTTCCTATTTTGGGCGTATTGCCAACACACATATACGAGGCACAAGCACTAGCACTTGAGCGATTGGCCCACAAGCTAGAAATGAATACAAGCAAATCATTTAAATTTTTAAATTCGCTCTATCGATGACGTAATCTACATACATACGCTCTGTCTCTGCCTTCTATCCAATATGCGAGCTGCTTTTGCAATATACACATAAGCGAACGCGAATGGTTTGGCTGCTGGTGCCCTTATCTCGCCCAGATATTTGCTTTGGCTCGCACAGACAGCTACCAGCACTCGTTCTGTTACAGCTCCACTTCTAATGAAAGCTCTCACTACTCAACGGGGCTCAATCGTTGATGTTATGGTTGTCTTTGTTAGTTCCCTCGTCGCAATAAGCGCTCAAGGTTATCGTTAGCGTTCTTTCCGAGGAGGTGGAGACGTCGTTGTCGTCCCACGGCACAACAAATACTAATGAATGCTGCAAAATTCCACACACATACGAGCGACTGCGACTGTGACGGCGGCGGCTACGAGCGAATGTGAACAAAGCCAAAACGCCAGCAGCTCTAAGCGAGATAGAGAGAGAAATTAATTCATAAATAAATCAGCACGAAGTAGCGACGACGCGACGTGTTTTTGGTTGATTTCGCTTACAACTTGTTTCTGCTAATGTGTATGTTTTTCTTTGGCTTGTTTATTTGACTATATACAAATTATATTTGGCCATTCGTATTTGCCCAGCATCTACAATGCGACGTTTAATAGCGTAAATTTATTTTTAGAAGATTTTTCACGTTCGTCATCAGCCTTCGTCTGTTGCTAGAGTCGAGCAAGTACTTGTTATCGATTGTACATTTATTGATGATCATGACGATAGTATTGTTTACAGCAAATACGTTTACCGAAATTATTCATAAAATCTTAAAATCTTAAAATAATTCCCATATATTCTTTTTTTAATAATTTATGTACAAATCTTAAATATACATTGCCAACTCATATGTGCATCGATATATCGATAACATTCAACAACCCTGCGCAGACTTAGTTGCATAAATACATTTAACGAACTGACAGTAAGTTTTTCTACAGTAAGGTGTGAAATTATAATTTAAAAAATTCAAAGTTTATTACTGAATATAACTTTGAAGGAGTACATTTATACGGATGCTAAGGTCCATGGCAACGACTGCCATTGACACTGCACGCACACATGCCAACGTGCTCTGCCTTTCACACAGAATTCGTAAACAAACACAATGAAAGCTCCCGTTCAGCCCCAAAGCGCCAGTCGTTGCGGCGCTGTCTATTCGAGCGCACGTACTGCAGAAATTGTCTCTCAGCTAAACGCCGACTTGAGTGCGCGCCCGTACCCTATCTCGCTCACACATACGTTGATAGTCAATACGAATACCTGTAAACGAGCGCGCCATTGCATGGGCGTGTGTGTGTGTGCCAGTATTCGTGAACAGCCAGCTAGGAAAATTGTGCATGGAAAATCAGAAAAATCTTTCTTAAAACAACGTGAAAACGTAAGCCATGAATCAAAGATAGCGTATACAGTCCAATCAAATAATAAATCTCAAACGTAGCACAAACAACTGAAGCATCAGAAGTATATAGTGATTTTCTAATTTTTCGACTTCGTATTGTGTGTTTGACAGACGAAAAATCGATCCAAACGATGCGAATCAACACAAAATTATAAGTTTTTTCTGGAAATAGTAGTGCAAAATATCATATAAACATTATTTACATGAAAATTTATATATACATACGTGCATATGGTGTATATATGAACGAAACGGCTAATTTCATTAGTAAAAGTTGGAAAATAGTGAGCGGTAGGGAAAGAGAAAGAGAGGTAGAAACAGAGTGAACGACTGAAAAAGTGAATTACGTTAATAGTTTAAAAAAACGCGCAACAGCCGCTGCAATACGATAAAACAAMAAAGACAACAACAACAGCAAACAACTATAGAAATAACAGCAGCAGCAACAGCAACAGCGCTTAGTCATCCGTGTGAGTTACGCCAGCGCAGTTCCAGCTCTTGGCAGCAAACGGTGCGGGCCTATAGAGTGTAGCGGCCCCAGGTTAAAGCGCTTGTGACTGACTGCTCGATGATAGCGATTGCATTGCACTACGCCTACGCGTACGCCACGCTGTTGATTCCAATAACAACAGTTATCGCAGTAACCTGTTGTACGCGTTTGTAGTTCACCTTTCGTTGTCAAACAAACAGAACAGCAAAACACACAAAAACAAAAACACGGCGAATCGGATTAAATACCAATACATGTACAGACAGTGCACAAACAATAATATACAAACATACTCGTATAACATAATAGACAACTAGAAAAAGTTTACACATTAAAATAGAGACCGGGACACACCTGTGCCGAAATAATAGTTACACATATACAAATACCTTGTTTCTATTTAGTGACCAAATATTGAGTTGAATTGTTAAAATGTCGCGCTTAACTGAGGAAATGGTGATTGCCCGTGCCAAGCAATCGGACCTGGGTCTTATTAAAAAACTCAATTGCTGGTAAGTTAAGTGAACTATTTGTTAACTATTTGTTATTGGCTTTGGAGTGAAAGCCCAGCCCAGTGATCTCTGTCGAGATCTCTGCCAGATCTCTGCCCACTTGCCGCTTTCACTACGCCAGTCGCATTCAGTCAGTCAGTCAGTCAGCCTGACTGACCCAAATCCCTCAATTGCCAGAAGCAGCAACCAGTTTAACCCAAGTTGTCCACTTGCCTGCCTACCCGGCTTTCTGGCTGCCTATCTATGCCAGAGCAGGGCGGCTGAAAACGTCTAAGAGCTTTGAAGCCTTTTCCTGCTCCAGCTAGGAAAGCACTTGAAGGATTTGCCTGCTGTGAGCAGCAGCCATTCGAAACAGTTATTTTGCAAGTGCATCTTAGAGTTTATTGGGTTGTCCGAGTGCTTAAATGTCAACATTATGTATATTTAAATATTAAAAGAAATTTACGAGCGACGGTAAATTTGTGATTTGCGACATTATTATTATTATTGTTTATTATATTTGTTATTATTATTTAAGACAGATATTTGTTTCTATATAAGACAGCATTAAATAAATTCGATTACGAACGAAATCATATTTAATTTAAAATACAAATTTTTTGAATGTAAGCGCAGTCGTTAAAATTACTTTTACATCTCAATATCCTTTGAATATTCGAATTGAAATTATCCATAGGGAAAATAAAATGATTTCCTATTTGTCAAATAATTATTTAAATAACATGAGCTAAATCAATTTCTTTGTTATGTTATGTAGTTAATATTGATTCAGTACTCAAACTTTGTTGTTGTTTAAAGTACCTTAGAGTATAGTTAACTAAATAACTTATGGAAAAAGATCACTCAGAACATAATAAACTACATGTTAAAAGGTTTTATATCTCTGTATCTTTAGTTTCAGGTGTTGAGTTGCTAACATAATTTCCTACTTTATTCTATTATATTGCATATATTACTATACTATAATAATATAACATATTATATTTGCACAGCAGTAATTAATAGTATGTTTTATATTCAACTACGTACATATACTATATATAAGTTAAACGCAATAAACTATAGATATAATAATATATTATATCTGGGAACAAATATCAAAAGATATTATTACTATCATATTATACCAATGTATATTACTGCTTTAAAAAACCATTCATCAATAATAATCCTTATTTTTTCCTTCTAAGCAACGCAATCTATAATCTTTCTATATTTTGTTTCTTGTCTTTTTAGGGGCAGTGATCTCACCGATGTCAATATAATCAAGCGAATGCACGGTGTTGAAGTTTTGGCGCTTAGGTGAGTCAAACGTATCTTAAATTGTATCCAATTCGACTCAGTTATAGATTAGAGGAGCGTTACGCTCATTTCCTGCACAGTGCCTTGATAGATTTTGAAATTCAATTAGACGCTTGCCATGTTAGTCAAATCTGCACATTGTGGGTGGAAAAGCTAGAATGAGAAAAGAGAAACAGAGAGAGAGAGAGAGAGAGAGAGAGAGAGAGAGAGAGAGAGAGAGAGAGAGAGAGAGAAAGCTAATCTGGGCATAAGTTTGTATCTGTCAGATACTTGTGCTCAAATGATGTCATTCGCACAGCGAGAGGCAACGGCATCATCAACAGCCGCAAGCAAGCGAAAAAAAAAAAACTTTGGCACGCTCAAGCGCGTAATTAATGCAGAAAGCAACAGCAACTACAACAATATGAAGCATAACAAAAGTCGTGGGAGCACCAAAATTGGCAACATCAACTTTAAGTCTGTGGGTCCAGCAAAGGCCCAACACATTCGCCCGGGCTATGTGCGTGGGGGCAAGGGCAACATTTGCTGCTACAAATAAATGTGAGATACGAGCTGCGAGCTACGAGATACAATAAGCTCTCACACAGATACCGCGGCACTTAACACAGATACTGGTGCTTGCATGTAGGTGATGATTATGCCAAGTATCTTGAAGTTTTCCTCTATTGCTTGCTGCTACCTTGTAGATTGCGGCCTTTTAAGGCAAACATCAATGTTTTTGATTGTCAAGGTCGTTTCGATCGATTTGCATGCCAAACTGACTGTCATATGGTCAACATATCGTTGCAAAACAGCAAACGCATATCTGAACTCTTATAATGTATTTATTAGCTGTGCATCGCCTTATAAGAACTTGGCCAAGCAAGGCTTTGTCATAAACTTGTGTCGAACAGATGGCGTTTTTGTTGGTCTGTAAGCAGGACGCAATGAGAGCGAAGCACATTTGTGGCATATATTGAATACCATCAGAGCTCTTTAAGCAATAAAAAGAACACACGTTAACGTTCCAGAATCTTTTGAAATACATTATAATATCCGTCGCCTTTATATCTCAATGAAAAATTATTCAATATTCATAGGTCTTTAAAAGCTTTTTGTAGTAACCTACTTTACCTTATCGAAGAACAGTTACCACACTCAATGGAGTACCGTACAGAAATGAGTCAATAGATACGGCAATACTTGGCGCACGCCATAAACCCGACCCTGGGTAATAAATATCAACAGCCCCATTTGTGTCTGAATGGGCTTTCGTTGCATTTAAGTAGTAAACCCTTTTGGTTTCATGTCGCTGAGCAAAGGCTTAACATATTTTCTGTTATGCCCACTTTGTTTGCCATTTGTGGAGTTGAAAGTTGTTGCAGATTATTGAGCTGGCCAAGGCGAGGGTCGTGGGTTGTTGGCAACTCGCCTCTGAATCCATAAATCAACTGTTTTGCCCCCACATGGGAATATGGTGCGAGCATTATTTGTTTGCCGGATTGCATGCTTAGATTTCTTTCTGCAAGAACAACACAGAAAGTTCCAGTCGAGTGTACCCGACTAAGAGATACCTTTAACCTCGTACTATCTGTGTTCTTAAACATATTGAATGTAATTGAGTGACTGTAGTTCGATTAGGGTTTAAATCGATAACACTGAAATAAAAAGAAT